TTTCAAATAGTTGTATCTCGACCAAATATTGTCCTATCATAACAAACCATACATCAATGGAAAGCTTATATATTTTGAAAAATTGACACTTAAGACTGGTTTTGTGGTCCATGGTCACATATAGACTTGAATGGGATTATTGTTATGAAAAGCAAAGAGCAAACTAAAATATATTCCATTCTTTGAAGCATGGGTCACACATTCATTTATATTACATTTACATGGCTGTTTAATACTGTGAATATTTAAAGCTAAATGATATACGGTAACACATGAAGGGCCATGCAACTAAAGTAGAAAGTTCGAAGACACTTTCAAAAGTTGACATTATATTCTTGCATTTCCAATCACAGCTAAGGAAAATGCATGGGGAGTTTGGGAGCGGTCTGGTAGACTGGGCCATTGTGACCGCTCTTTCTGATTCACTGCACCGCATAATAGGCAGTACATCACGACATGACCCATGGGAACTTTTCATTCTTATTCCCTTTCTCTCAGCCCCCTTCATTCCAGGCACTTTCTCACAATAGGCTGCTGCTTCAGCACTGTCCTCTCCAGGTCACCCTGCTCCCAGAATTCTGCAACAACGGACAGCGCCACCTACACGACACAGTCAGTAATAAACTTAGATTTATGCTCTTTATAGATGCATTTGGAGAGATGCGAATATGGATTTTACGTGTAACTAGATTTCAAATATATTAACTGTGCATTAGAGACCATTAATGACTTAAACCAAGCAGAAATCGCTACATAACGATTCCCACTGAGACAGACCTGGCACATGTCCCATTTGCAACTATAAAATTTGGCTCTATCATTGTTCTTGGATCTACTTCCACGATTCAGCATTACCTCATCTCTAAGCAGAGTTTTTCCAAACTCTAGATGGTGCCTCTCAAGAATGGAGGAACCATGCAGCTTTGCCCGTGGATTCCCAGACCTGGCAAAGACATCACAGAAATGGAATCTTAAAACCTAGAAGGGTCACAGACTTTCAGTAAAAATGAACACAAATAGGCATGATGCAATGTGCAATGCAGTTTGCATAAATTTAACGATTTTAATAATTCATATGTAAACGTTGGCTCCTTAGATCTTTGATTAGAGTGTATTTTGAATGCAAATAAAAATGCATCTTTGACCACTGAATTACATGATTATTGTAGGCATGATAACTTACAGTGGGGAAAAAAAGTGGAGGACAGAGGAGTCTCTTAAAGAAGAAGTTACAGGTCTGTGAGGGCCAGAAATCTTGCTTGTTTGTAGGTGACCAAATACTTATTTTACCGAGGAATTTACCAATTAATTCTTTAAAAATCCTACAATGTGATTTTCTGGATTTTTTTTCTCATTTTGTCTCTCATAGTTGAGGTATACCTATGATGAAAATTACAGGCCTCTCTCATCTTTTTAAGTGGGAGAACTTGCACAATTGGTGGCTGACTAAATACTTTTTTGCCCCACTGTATGCCATTCTCTACCCCTTCTCGTTTCATTTCAATGCATGTCACTTTTTTTCTCAGTGGAGCACAAAATAAATGTTTTTCAAAATGTCTTTGCATACTGTGAAAATGTTGCCCAGTAGCTGTCAAGTTGCAATTTTCCTCGGTTAATGCATATCAGGTCAGGTTTTGAACCCATCTGTTTGCACGCTAAACAAAAATGCTGCCACAAAACTGGTCTGACATCTAAATAAAGTACTACTAAGTTACATTGATTTAGAAGAATGTGTTTTTTGGTGCACCCACTGGTGCATGATACCCCTGGTAGTGGATGTCGGTGATATAAAAATGAGAATGTCTCCACACTATATTTCTGAATATTGTAATACATACACATTTTTCTTTAGTAAGAGCAGTGGGACATTGACTTTAATGAGTGCATACTTCATCTGGTAGAGGTTGTTAATGCCGCGGTGGTCAATATCATGACAGAGCCCAGCGGTCACCATCGCCATCGTCTCCAGGTCCGTATAATAGCACTTCAGGTCACCTGTCTGAGACACAAAAGAGCAGGTTTAATAGGCTTCAAGGCGGAGCCACGTTAAGACACACCCCCTACTCTTGTAGAGCAAGAGGCTGACTAGTGAGGGCTCATTAGGCTCAGTGAAGCATGGGAGTAGTGCTGAGAAAGGCTCATTAGCAGCCTGGCTTGCGTTTCTTCCAGCCCTCCAACACTCCATCCTTCCTGACGTACAGCCAGCTCGCAGTGATTACACATGACTTAACCAGGAGCAGGTTTACACTCGACTGATTAATTAGACGGGGCCGTCTGCCATTTCAGAGAATGCGTGTTGGAGATGGGCTGTATCATTAAACATATTCCCTAAAAAATGTCCACGACTCTAGCACCCACTAAAGAGAGGGGCAAATTGATCAAATGCTCTGTTGCAAGGCTAGCATAGCTGGTTTGTTTATTTAGTTTTTTTGTTTGCAGGGTGAGAACAGTAAATGTATTCATAGCTAGGGCTTCACTAGCTTTTGCTGAGCAAGATGAGTTGTTGTCTCTGAAGTGAGAGCAGATTTGGAGAGGGGCTGAGATGAGATTTTTAGGCCCCCTTAACAAGCGTCTAGAAATGAAATGTTTGAAATGTCATTCCGAGTGGTTTTTCTCTTACCACGAGCAGTGTAAACATGGTCTGACCCAAATTGAAGCCATGCCTCCAGTTGTGGTAGGTGATCCTCCTGTAACCTTTACTGACCGAGTACACAAAGCGCGCCAGGGTCTAGAGAGAAATCAATTTCAGCTAAGTCTTACAAGGCATAGCAAATATTGTATTTACGTTGTCTGTACAGTGTGCAATAAAATATCTTAAAGAGAGTGCACTGAAACAGTGCATTTTTAGATGAATTTTAGCAGCAGTATTTAGTGATGCTTGGTAGGACGAATGTACATAAATCATTGATGATAACTTGAAAAATGAAACTTGGGTGCATATCCCGTTTGTGTTGTAGACATGAATTATATCTTGTTTTGAAAATGATAAAATGGGTAAAAATTTATTGAAGGAGGGACCCAAGCCATCTAGAGACCAGGGCCAGATTCACCTAAATCTTCCTAAGGAAGAAATGTAATTATTTATATTATCGCTCACTAGTGTTACTTCAGAGTATGAAACTCTTTCCACATTTATATAGTATAGTCACGTGAGGAGATACAGTATATAGTATAGTTTTTTTATTTCATTGCAAAATGTAACTATATTGTTGTCCAACTGTTTATATAATATTGGATATCCAAGTGTGTCCAACTATATCCGCGATACATAGGGCGATATATATACTATATAGCATTTCTCAACTGCTTGATTCCTTGTATTGGCTCAAACTGTATTATCGGCCATCTGAATCTGCTTTGAAACAAAGCGTATTGTGAAAACGGCTATAAATTTTACTTGACTTGTCATTTTACCTTTGGGTATTTAAAACAAGTTAAAGGTTTCAATTATTACAATGTATTGTAAGTATTACTGTACAATGAGTTTTAAGATTTTTTTTCAGGTATTCAAATTCTTCTTAGGTTTTGACTTTAGAACAAAAAGAAAAGAACAGTCTTAAGAGATGTTGCTTGGAAATATTCTTAACTTTAAGTTAGAAAATAGAAAGAAAATAGCATTAAGAAGAATTTTATTTGTATTTTGCATTTTTTGTGAATCTGGCCCCAGGAACATTAATGTGGCTTGTTTTGTCTTATAAAGTAAGCAAACATCATCCCAGAACAACCATAACCTCTTAAATTTTCTTTAGTTAGATACAGTATATAGTCAAAATATACCAACTGGATTGGAGTTGTCATTATCACTCACCTCACGTGGAATATGGAATTTGTCTACCACACCCAGTTCATAGTACATCTTGATGCCACACTTCACCAGGTCAAACTCACTGAACTCAAAGTCACAGAAGTGAAACTCAAAGATCTCTGATTCCTCTGAGTCTGGTAGTGTTTCGTACTGCAGAGAGAGACAGCACAGCTGAACACACACACAGCTATAAAACAACTAGACTTTAAACTATGCATGAATTTTTTGTGTTTTACCAGATTATCCTCCAGCTCATCCTCGTCACATTCATCAGGTTCTTTGTCATACACCTCACGTGTGTTCTGAACATAAAAAAATAAATTTTACAAGGCTAATATTCCATGACTCTTTTTCTATGTTCATACAACCCATTTTAATCAGGCAATCAATCATACTGTCATATACGACAGCACTGCTTTTCCACATGATCAAGATACTTCATTCTATAGGATATCCTGCTATTACCAGCTTTACCAATGTAGTGTAATTCATTTTAATTAGTGCACACTAGGGACTAAGCCATGTCAAGTTGGAGAAACCCACCAAGATATTCTGAATCTCATCTTTCCTGCACTTGACGTGGTACATGACCATGTCCTGAAAGATGTCCTTGCGATTTTCCAGCTTGTTCATCTTGTCATACGTGTGTGTATTCAACAATGACCAGCCCAGGAACTGAGTGAGTGACTGAAACAGATTCAGGTTTAGATTCACATTTACATTCATGTACACAAATAGGCTTAGATTCAGATTCATGTTTAGGTTTAGATTCACATTTACATTCAGGTTCAGAATTACTGCAGGTTGAGATTCAAGTTCAGATTCAGATTTACATTCAAGTTTACAATTAGGTTCAGATTCGTGTTCAAGTTCACATTTAATGTAGATTGAGATTCCGGTTTAGATTCACCTTTACATACAGATTCACAATTAGGCTGAGATTCAGATTCATGTTCAGGTTCACATTTAATGTAGATTTAGATTCCGGTTCAGATTTAGATTTAGATTCACATTTACATTCAGGTCCATTACTGTAAGTTGAGATTCAGGTTTAGATTCACACTGCTCATACAGGTTCACATTTACTGTAGGTTGAGATACATTTTTAGGTTCACATTTTCATTCAGGTTCACATTTACTGTAGGTTGAGATTTAGGTTCAGATTCAGGTTTAGATTCACATTTACTGTAGGTTGAGATACATTTTTAGGTTCATATTTTCATTCAGGTTCACATTTACTGTAGATTGGGATTCAGGCTCAGATTCGGGTTTAGATAAATCATTGATGATAACTTGAAAAATGAAACTTGGGTGCATATTCTGTTTGTGTTGTAGACATGAATTATATCTTGTTTTGAAAATGATAAAATGGGTAAAAATTAATTGAAGGAGGGACCCAAGCCATCTAGAGACCAGGGCCAGATTCACCTAAATCTTCCTAAGGAAGAAATGTAATTATTTATATTATCGCTCACTAGTGTTACTTCAGAGTATGAAACTCTTTCCACATTTATATAGTATAGTCACGTGAGGAGATACAGTATATAGTATAGTTTTTTTATTTCATTGCAAAATGTAACTATATTGTTGTCCAACTGTTTATATAATATTGGATATCCAAGTGTGTCCAACTATATCCGCGATACATAGGGCGATATATACTATATAGCATTTCTCAACTGCTTGATTCCTTGTATTGGCTCAAACTGTATTATCGGCCATCTGAATCGGCTTTGAAACAAAGAGTATTGTGAAAACGGCTATAAATTTTACTTGACTTGTCATTTTACCTTTGGGTATTTAAGACAAGTTAAAGGTTTCAATTATTACAATGTATTGTAAGTATTACTGTACAATGAGTTTTAAGATTTTTTTTCAGGTATTCAAATTCTTCTTAGGTTTTGACTTTAGAACAAAAAGAAAAGAACAGTCTTAAGAAATGTTGCTTGGAAATATTCGTAACTTTAAGTTAGAAAATAGAAAGAAAATAGCATTAAGAAGAATTTTATTTGTATTCTGCATTTTTTGTGAATCTGGCCCCAGGAACATTAATGTGGCTTGTTTTGTCTTATAAAGTAAGCAAACATCATCCCAGAACAACCATAACCTCTCAAAATTTTCTTTAGTTAGATACAGTATATAGTCAAAATATACCAACTGGATTGGAGTTGTCATTATCACTCACCTCACGTGGAATATGGAATTTGTCTACCACACCCAGTTCATAGTACATCTTGATGCCACACTTCACCAGGTCAAACTCACTGAACTCAAAGTCACAGAAGTGAAACTCAAAGATCTCTGATTCCTCTGAGTCTGGTAGTGTTTCGTACTGCAGAGAGAGACAGCACAGCTGAACACACACACAGCTATAAAACAACTAGACTTTAAACTATGCATGAATTTTTTGTGTTTTACCAGATTATCCTCCAGCTCATCCTCGTCACATTCATCAGGTTCTTTGTCATACACCTCACGTGTGTTCTGAACATAAAAAAATAAATTTTACAAGGCTAATATTCCATGACTCTTTTTCTATGTTCATACAACCCATTTTAATCAGGCAATCAATCATACTGTCATATACGACAGCACTGCTTTTCCACATGATCAAGATACTTCATTCTATAGGATATCCTGCTATTACCAGCTTTACCAATGTAGTGTAATTCATTTTAATTAGTGCACACTAGGGACTAAGCCATGTCAAGTTGGAGAAACCCACCAAGATATTCTGAATCTCATCTTTCCTGCACTTGACGTGGTACATGACCATGTCCTGAAAGATGTCCTTGCGATTTTCCAGCTTGTTCATCTTGTCATACGTGTGTGTATTCAACAATGACCAGCCCAGGAGCTGAGTGAGTGACTGAAACAGATTCAGGTTTAGATTCACATTTACATTCATATAGGCTTATAGGCTTAGATTCAGATTCATGTTTAGGTTTAGATTCACATTTACATTCAGGTTCAGAATTACTGCAGGTAAGTTCAGATGTTCAGATTCAGATTTACATTCAAGTTTACAATTAGGTTCAGATTCGTGTTCAAGTTCACATTTAATGTAGATTGAGATTCCGGTTTAGATTCACCTTTACATACAGATTCACAATTAGGCTGAGATTCAGATTCATGTTCAGGTTCACATTTAATGTAGATTTAGATTCCGGTTCAGATTTAGATTTAGATTCACATTTACATTCAGGTCCATTACTGTAAGTTGAGATTCAGGTTTAGATTCACACTGCTCATACAGGTTCACATTTACTGTAGGTTGAGATACATTTTTAGGTTCACATTTTCATTCAGGTTCACATTTACTGTAGGTTGAGATTTAGGTTCAGATTCAGGTTTAGATTCACATTTACTGTAGGTTGAGATACATTTTTAGGTTCACATTTTCATTCAGGTTCACATTTACTGTAGATTGGGATTCAGGTTCAGATTCAGATTCGCATTTACATTCAGTTTTACATGTACTGAGATTCAGGTTTAGATTCACATCTACATTCAAGTTTACAATTAGATTCAACTTTACGTTCAGATTCACAATTAGGTTGAGATTCAGATTCATGTTCAGGTTCACATTTAATGTATGTAGATTTAGATTCCGGTTCAGATTTAGATTTAGATTTACATTCAGGTTCATTACTGTAAGTTGAGATTCAGGTTTAGGTTCACACTTCTCATACAGGTTCACATTTACTGTAGGTTGAGACTCACACTTTCATTCAGGTTCACATTTACTGTAGGTTGAGATACATTCTTAGGTTCACATTTTCATTCAGGTTCACATTGTAATGCACTATTGTAATGCACTCCTAGGTGGTTGTCCTGCATCTTCAATAAACAAGCTACAGGTAGTCCAAAATGCAGCGGCTAGAGTCCTTACCAGGTCAAGAAAATATGATCATATTACCCCAATTTTACAGTCTCTGCACTGGCTACCTATTAAGTTCCGTATCAGTTACAAAATATTATTACTTGCTTCCTGATAACATTCAGGGTTCAGACACACTCTCTCTGTTTAAATCTAGATTAAAGACACATCTCTTTGGCCAAGCATTCAAATAATGCATCTCATAATCTTGTACTGCAGTTATATCTGATCAAATATGCACATTATTATTCTTTAGTTTGGGTTAAACAAATCAATTTTGCTTGGTTGGAGCTGCAGCTACGCTAATTATGTCTCTATTT